ATCAGGAATTGATGTCCCACCTGGTCTCAGCTTTCTCTCTATGTGTGTCTGTTTGACTTTTCTAATCCCCCATTGCCCCTCACAGGTTTCTCAATTAATTCCGTGCTGGTCACAGCACCGCAGTACCACAAAAAATTAAAAATAAAATAAAAATTTTAAAAAGCTGAATCAGGAATAACTTGACAAGAAGCCTTCATGGAAACCTGCAGGTAAACGCTGCCATCCAGATGAGTCTGCAGCAATGGCCACAGGAGCACATCCATGGACACTGTGAAATAAAACCAAACCATGTCCAAGCCAATGGCCCAGAGCTGAAGGTATGGGCCTCCTGGCAACTATAAATGCCCATAAGCTGACTCTGCTCAGAATGACAGCAGATATTTTCTTCTGGACAAAACTTCCAAATCAGATGCCAAAACCCCAAACTCTAAGGTTTCCCCTCTCCCCACAAACTTGGTAAAGGAATATCAAAGTCACTAAGTCTCCGATGGCTTTCCACTATCCTTAGACAAAATCCAAACTCTACAACCAGGCAGCAAGAGCTCTCAAATGCTGGCCCATCACAATCACACTGTACCCCAAAAATATGAACATTTCTTACATGTTAACTGCAAATTTTAAAATATAATCATTTTTGCCAGGTGTGGTGCATGCCTGTAATCACACAGATTCGGAGGCTGAGGCAGGAGAATCTCAAGTTCGAAGCCAGTTTTACCTAGCAAATTATCAAGGTCCTAAGTGAAGCAGTGAGACCCTGTCTCAAAAAATTAAAAGGACTAGGGATGCAACTCAGTGGTAAAGTATCCCTGGGTTCAATCCCCTGTCCCAAAATAAACATATAAAGTCATTTTTTTTTTTTTTTTAAAGAGGCTAGCTCAAACTTTCTCTCTGGCCTCCTATTATCTCTCCCTTTGTTCCTGTTTTCACTACCTGACTCCTACTCCAATCCCAGACCATACTGACCAGTTCTCACTAATTCCAACCCAGTGAGCCAACCTCCACGTTTTCACTTCTATTTGCCATGCTCTCACCCCTACCCCAGCCCACACCCCTCAGTGCCTCCCTAGTAAATTTTAGTTATGTTTAGGTTATTTATTCATTTATTTTAGGTACTGAGCATTTAACAACTTTACCACTGAGCTACATCCCCAGTCCTTTTTTTGTAATATTTTGTGACAGGGTCTTACTGACTTGCTTAGGGCCTTGCTAAATTGCTGAGGCTGGCCTTAAACTTGCAGATTCTCCTGTCTCAGTCTCCCGAATTGCTGGGATTATAGGCAAGCACCTCCATGCCCAGCTATGCTTAGGTCTTAACGCTACAATCCCAGGACTCCATCCTGACCACCATCCCCATTTATACACACAACATATAGTCAAGCCTCCTGTGTATTTTCACAGCTTCTTGCCTTCTTCCACCATATTTATGGGTACACCACAGATTGCGGCCACAAACTGCCTGGGTTAAAATTTTCACTAGTAGTTAGGTATCTTGAATGAATAAGTCATCTGAACTTTCTTAGCTTCACTTTCTTTGTCTGTAATGAGGTATCTTCTTCACTGTCTTATGAGGCTAAATAAATTCGTTTAAGATTATAGAGATTCAATAAATTAATGTATATGAAGGCACATGGTAAGAACTATGTATAAACTCTGTGAGGCAGGATATGATACTATTTTTACTGTACTTACCACGTCATGTGGCAATTGCCTAGGCTATAAGTACCACGGTCAGGGTGGGTGGGGATGTGCTGCACTAGGACTAGTTGGTCTTGAGGCAGATACTGGATAAAATGTTTGATGACTGGATGTAGCTTCAATGTGTTTTTTTTCTGCTGTCCTGTGCTGCCTCACAGTGGCTGCCATCCCCAGAGGGTAGAACAACTTGTTCTAGGGGGGAGTTATTATTATCATTATTTTGTGGTTCTAGGGGGTAGAGCCTAGGCCCTCATGCATTGCTAAGCAAGCACTCCAACAATGAGCCACATTTCCAGCCTTCCAAAATTCTAAGCCAGTTTTACTTAGCAAATTATCAATGACCATCAATCAGCTCAAGCAAGAAATTCTTCCCTATTTTCTAATGATCAAATGAATGAAGACATGCAAACAGCCAATGAAGACATGAAAAGATGCTCAGCTTTAATCAGCATTAGGGAAATGTGGATCAAAATCACAATGAGATACTACCACATGCCCACCAGGATGACTATAACAAAGAAGTAAAATTCCGGATACTCAGGAGTCTGAGGCAGGAGGATCACAAGTTCACACAACTCAGTGACCCTATCTCAAAAATAAAATTTTATTTTATTTTTTTTAATATTTATTTTTTAGTTTTTGGCAGACACAAAATCTTTGTTTGTATGTGGTGCTGAGGATCGAACTCGGGCCGCATGCATGCCAGGCGAGCGCGCTACCGCTTGAGCCACATCCCCAGCCCAAAAATAAAATTTTAAAAAGGGGTCAGAGATGTAGCTCAGTGGTGGAGCACTTGCCTAGCAGTGGCACTACAGTGAGGCTCTGGGTTTAATTCCTACTTCTGAAAAACAAAGAGGGGCTGGGGTTGTGACTCTGCAGTAGAGTGCTTGCCTAGCACATGTAAGGCCCTGGGTTCAATCCACAGCACCACATAAAAATAAATAAATAAAATAAAGGTATTGAGGTATTGTGTCCAACTACAAATTAAAAAAGAGAGAGAATTACAAGTGTTGGTGATAATGACAAGAACTAGGAACAAGGAATATAAACAGCATAGTCATTATGGAAAAATTTAGCAGTTCTTCATGAAATTCAACACAAATACCATACGATCCAGCAATTCCACTCCTGGGTATATATATATCCAAAAGAAATGAAAACACATGTCCATACAAAATCTCGAATGTGAACATTCATAACCTCATCATTCAAAATGGCCAAAATGTATAAACAAGTCAAATGTCCATCAACTAATGAAAGAATAAACAAAATGTGGTATATCCATTCAACAGAACATATACACAGCCATGAAATGGAATGAGGTACTGATACATGATAATATGGATATCATCTGGTAACGTCATGCTTTAAAAAAAAAAAACAGATACAAATCACCACAAATTGTATACCTCAACTTATATGAAACGTCCAGAAAGGGTAAATCTATGGAGACATAAAGTACATCAGTGGTTGCCAGGGGCTAGAGGGAAGGTGGATGAAAGGTAGGAAGTGCATGCTAATGGGTCCAGCATTTCTTTTTCAGAGTGATGGGAATGTTCTGGAATTAGATAGTTGAAATGTTTGCATAATTCTGTGGCTATACTAAACCATCACAAATATGTTCCTTTTGCAGGGGTGGGTACTGAGAATTGAACCCCGGGGTGCTTTACCACTAAGCTAAATCCCCAGTCCTTTTTATTTTTTGAGACAGGGTCTCACTAAGTTGCTGAGGTTGGCCTCAAACTCATGATCCTCCTGCCTCAGCCTCAGAGTCCCTGGGATTACAGGTATGCACCACTGCAACTGCCATTACACTCTAAATGGGTGAACTGTATGATATGGGAACTGTATCTCTATTTTGTTTTAGAACAGCAACTGAAACAAGGAATGACAATTTCCAAGCACTCCCGTATGTACCAGATAGTACTGTGTGCTAAATAATTTCTGTATATTCATTCCTTGCCTTTAAATAAGGCAAGAGAGACAGCAAGTTTTCAATTAGTGAGTAAGCTCAGCACAGCCTCAGGCATATAGCAGCAGCTCAGCAAACAGTTCTCGGCCTAGTCCCATGATTCATTATGAGAACTGCTGGCACAGACTAGGGTTTATAACAAAAGCCTTAGTGAACAGTAGCCTGATACAGGAGGCCTGTTTACCCCAAAGCTATAATGGAGAGAAACTGGGGAGTCCTAATGAATGTGATGTTGGGACAGAGTTGAAAGAAGAAATCACTAGGCCAGTACAAGGCCCCAGGGGCAAGGACTGCTGTGGACCCCCTCCCACCTCAGAGAAATGTTTGTCAACCGGGAAAGGGAAAGCAGTGGAGGTTACATGCACAGTCTGCACTTGAATTTCAGGGATTCCAATCTGACTCCACCATCTACACAAGTTTCTTAGCCTCGGCCTCGGCGGCCTCAGTTACCTCAATGGTAAAATGTTCACAGGATTGTTATAAGAAATAAACGAATGTGTGTGTGTGTGTGTGTGTGTGTGTGTAATGGACTTATTGATTAAATGAGTGCTGTGTGTATACATACATACACACTCATTTAATTCTGTACACACATACATAGAAAGCGCTTAGAACTATGCCTACAGCTGGGTGTGGTGGTGCATGCCTGTAATCCCAGAAATTTGGGAGGTTGAGGCAGGAGGATCCCAAATTCGAGGCCAGCCTCAGCAACTTAGCAAGACCCTTAGCAATTTAGGAAGACTCTATCTCAAAATAAAAAATAAAAAGGACTGAGGATCTCAGAGGTAAAGTGCCCAGGGTTCAATTCCCAGCACAAAAAAAGAAAAAAAAAAAAAAAAAAAAAAACTACGCCTAGCGTGTAACAGTTCAATAAATGTTAGGAACTGCGATTATCTCAGCTTCAACGTCATCGTCAATCTGTGAGAGGCATTTCTGATTAGATACTCAAGAGACTAGTCGCCAAGGGGCAGTCAAGGAAGGCGGCAGGCGTTCATCGACATCTACTCTTGGGGGTCTCCTAGTGTGGTCATTTTACACACGTGTGTAAATGCGAGCGTCAAAGCGCTGGGACCAGAGAGAGGGCGGAATCTGTCTCAGCTCAGCTGGGCAAGGTCTTATCCAGGATTCCAGTAGCTGGGAGCGAGCGAGGCGGCCTGGGGCGCACAAAGGCGGGGAGGCGCACCCCCGCCACCGTGAGATCAGGATCCGGGAGCACCGAGGAAGGAGGGGCTAGGAGGAGCGCGGGATCCCGGGGCGGGGCTGGGGGAGGTCCGTCGGGAGGGAAAGGCCTGTCCGGAGAGGGGACAGCGGGCGCAAAGGGCGTGCGCGGTACCTGGAGTCGAACTTCTGGCCGTCGGGGAACGTCCCCACATAGTGGTAGCGCACGAAGTCACCGCTGCGCACGGTGCGCGGACACTCGTCTGGCACGAAGCGCCGCTCGATCTGCAGCTCCGCGTCGGAGCCCAGGCCCAAGCCGGCCACAGGCGCCGCCTGTCCGGTCACCCAGAGCAGCAGCAGCAGCAGCGGCGGCGGCAGGGGTCGCGAGCCCCGGGCCCTGAACGCCATCCGGGCAGCGAAGACAGGAGAGAGAGCGGGCGCAGAGTGGAGCTCGGGAGGCGCGGGTCGAGTCTAGGCGCGCAGCGGCGTTTGCAAACGTGGAAAAGCCTTCGGGTCCTGTCCGGGCGGCAGCTACCACCCCCTCTCTGGTTGCCCGCCCCCCGGCCCCAGCCGCGAGGGGAGGAGCCGCGCGCCGGGGGCGGGCGCGCAGCTCTGCGGGGCTTAGGAGTTGGCCGGCCGGGAAGAGGGGGTGGCAACTGGAGAGGGGCCCAATCTGCATCCCGAACCTGGCGAATTCTTCCGCGCGGGGCTGAGGTCCGAGGTTGGGAGAGTTTATTGCTCAGGCCCAACCGCTGATCTCCGCCCCTCCCTAGAGACTTATTTAGGGCCACGAGAAGCTCCTACGTGGCCACGGATCCAGTTTCCCCTTACTGCCTCGCGGAAAGGGGGAAACTTGGTTGTTTTGTTTTGTTTTAAATTAGTTACAAGGGTAGAATCTACATTGAGCGAAGCCATCCTTCTGCTTTTTTTTTTTAATATTTAGAGAAAGGGGGAGGCATATTTTGCTAGACATGCCTCGCTAAACATGCTAGTCATGTTTCATCCTGATAGTTGTCCGGGTGAAAGTTTTAAGTTGCTTAATGTGCACAAAGTCATCAATGGATGCAGTGTGGATTGATAAAACTACAGACAAACCACAGATCCACATACACGTAACCATGTAGGTAGGACTTCATAATAGAGACCCAGCTGCCACAAGAAATTCATTAGTTAAACGCATCCTGTGCTTAGAATTGGCTTAATTGATTAAAATTTCGGAACACTAAATCACCAGCCAGATGTGTAATCCCAGCAACTTGGGAGGTTGAGGCAGGAGAATCTCAAATTCGAGACTTATCTCAACAGCTTAGCTAGACCCTCTGCAATTTAGCAACACCTTCTCTCAAAATTTAAAAAGCAAAAAGGGCTGGGGATGCAACTCAGTGGTAAAGTGCTCCTGGGTTCAATCTCCAGTACAAAAAACAAAAAATAGAAAAACAAAAAACAAAAAAATAGAAATAGTAAAGCACCTCTCAGGTTCAATTCCTAATACTATCAAAAAAAGAAAAAGAAATCACCAGCACCAATTTTTAAAAATAAGCAAGGTGTAGGTAGTGGTACATACCTGTAATTCCAGCATCTCAGGAGGCTGAGACAGGAGGATGGCAAGTACCAGGCCAGCTCAGAAACTTAGCAAGGCCCAAAGCAACTTACTAAGACCCTGTCTCAAAATAAAAATTAAAAAGGGCTGGAGATGTAGCTCATTGGTTAAGTGCCCCTGGGTTCAATTTCTAGTACCAAATAATAATAAAATATATTTTAGAAAAGAAAGTCTAGAGCTGGGGTTGTTGCTCAGTGGTAGAGCGCTTATCTGGCATGTGTGAGGCACTGGGTTTGATCCTCAGCACCACATAAAAATAAGTAAATAAATAAATAATAGATGTCTATCAACAACTAAAAACAAATTTAAAAAAGGAATATCTGAAAGGTCAAAGGCCAGTTTAGGGGTGCAGAGCAGCTTGAAGGAAGGGAAGGGGGATCTGAAAACAGATTGAAATGAATTAAAGTCAGAAGACGAGGGTTTTGTCCATAACCTCATCAGAACATCTAAGCCAAATGTTAACAATGAAATCAAACAATCTGGTGGAGATAGTTCACCAAAGGAAAAAAAAATCTACTTTTTATTGATCCTGGAATAAAGGAGGTTTTATGAATTGGAAGTTCCTCTGAGAGCAGTAAATCCTGGAGGCTGAAAGATGCAAGCTGTTAACTTTAGCTTGGCACTCACTAAGCAGGGCTAAAGAAATGACCAGCATTGGGCTTGGGTCACCACCCAGCAGCAGAGCACTTGCCTAGCATGGGCGAAGTTCAGTCCCCAGCACTGGGAAAAAAAAAGAAAAGAAATCATCAGTGTTAAGAAAAATATCCTCAACCAGCCATCCGAGCTGATCTGAGGCCACTGGGAAGTCAGGGAACTTAGTTTCTATCAGCTCCCCGTCTTACTCCCTCCCCAAGGGTTTCTTAGATATTCTCCCACTCCCAGTATTGACTACACACCTGAATTCACCTTGAGATATGATGAAAAACCCTGGACTAGAAGACAGGTTATCTTGGTTATAAGGTTGATGTTCCTCCTTTATTCTCTGAACCTCAATCTTATGTCTTGTCTACCCTGCCCCATAAGGTTTCTGAGAGTATCAATTGGGGGAGGTAGATGATCTGCACAGCATTATGTATTAGGAATCATATTTATCTATAAGTATTAGAAACCCAACTCAAAATCTCTTAAACAATAAAGAAAAGTATCATCTCTCAAAATAGGAAGTCTGGATTGGCAGCAGGTCCAGAACTCATTAATCAATTGTCTATATAACCTCCCCAAGGGCCCAGGGGTCTCTGTTCATCTACCAGGAGGGTGGCTACTGCCTCATGATTGCAACATGGCTGCCCCAGATACAGCTAATATGTGTAAGTAGCATCATCCTGAAACACAAGGGGATCTTTTATCCTCCAAGTATCATTCAGTAGGAGCAAGGACAACCTTTCCTACCAGACCTACTCTCATGTGCCATTGGCCTACATCCTGGGAACAAATTTTTACCCCTCAAACATCAGATAGAGCTCTAATCTCTAGAGTATACAAAGAACTCAAAAAGTTAAACAACAAAAAAGCAAATAACCCAATCAACAAATGGGCCAAGGACTTGAACAGAAACTTCTCAGAAGAGGATATACAATCAATCAACAAATACATGAAAAAATGCTCACCATCTCTAGCAATCAAAGAAATGCAAATTAAAACTACTCTAAGATACCATCTCACTCCAATAAGAATGGCAGCCATTATGAAGTCAAACAACAATAAGTTCTGGAGAGGATGCAGGGGGAAAAAGGTACACTCATACATTGCTGGTGGGACTGCAAATTGGTGCAGCCAATTTGGAAAGCAGTATGGAGATTCCTTGGAAAGCTGGGAATGGAACCATCATTTGACCCAGTTATTCCCATTCTCGGACTATACCCAAAAGACCTAAAAAGAGCATACTACAGGGACACAGCCACATCAATGTTTATAACAGCACAATTCACAATAACTAGAATGTGGAACCAACCTAGATGCCCTTCAATAGATGAATGGATTAAAAAAGCGTGGCATTTATACACAATGGAATATTACTCAGCACTAAAAAATAACAAGATCATGGCATTTGCAGGAAAATGGATGGCATTAGAGCAGGTTATGTTAAGTGAAGTTAGCCAATCCCTAAAAAACAAATGCCAAATGTCTTCTCTGATATAAGGGGGGTGACTCAAAATGGGATAGGGAGGAAGAGCATGAGAAGAAGACTACCACTAATTAGGGAAGAGAAGTGGGAGGGAAAAAGAGGGAGAAGGGGAGTTGCACAGAAGATGGAAGGAGAACCTCATTGTTATACAGAATACATATACGATGTTGTGATGAGAAAAAGAAAAAAAAGTGTGTCACATTAGATTGGATAGAGAGAAAGGACGGGAGAGGAGGGGAGGAGTAGTGGGGATAGGAAGGGCAGCAGAATAGACAATATGATTGATGTGTGTACATTTCATCTATGTATTATATGTCAAAATACTTTCTGCTGTCATATATGACTAAAAAAATAAAAATAAATCGTATGGTTAAAAAAAATTACAAAATAAAAACAACCTTGGACTTGAAAAAAAAAAAAAAGAATTCTCTTGGTGGATTATGCCCCCAAAGGTCCATGTTCATAGTCCTCTGCAACACAGCAGAAACATTTGAGAAGCCCTGTAGCAATGCACCAAAAGTAATAGTTAAAATTATTTCTGCGGGGCATGGTGACACAAACCGGTAATCCCAGAAGCGCCAACGACTGAGGCAGGAGGATGGCAAGTGTGAGGTCAACCTCAGCAAATTAGTGAGGCCCTAAGAAACTCAGCAAGACCCTGTCTCTAAATAAAATATTTAAAAAGTCTGGGGTGGAAGGGAAGAGACCCAAACCTGATTGGTAGTCTGGGTGAACATCTTTGATTGCCAATCCAATTGCCATTCTCCCTTCTCTGTCTTGCTAACAGTTCTCTAATTTTGTTCAGGAATCTCAGCATAGGGTCTGGGGATGTAGCTCAGTTGGTAGAGTGCTTGCCTTACACGCATAAAAACCTGGGTTCAATCCCCAGCACTGCAAAAAAAAAAAAAAAAAGGATCTCAGAGTAAACCTGTAATGCTAGGTACTCAGAAGGCTGCAACAGGAAGATTGCAAATTCAAGGCCAGCCTCAGGAATTTAGCTAAGGCTAAATTTTAAATTTTATTTTAAGCCACCTTAAACTAAAATTTTAAAAAAGGGCTGAGGATGCAGCTCAGTAATAGAGTACTTTGCCTAGTATGCACGAGCCCCTGGGTTCAATCCCCAGTACTGTAAAAAAGAAAAAGAATTTTAGTGTAACCCCGAAAAAAGTCCAAATTTTGTTGCTGCTTGATAAGGTCAATGACTCAAGAGACAGAGTGACAGAAGAGAAAGGTTTATTTGGTGGCCCAAGAATCAAGCTCTTTGTTCACACATCAGCCTTTTCACTACAGGGAGTTGAAGAGTTAATAGGAAAGGAATAATGAGGGAGAGAAGGTAAGAGAGGGTAATAAAGGGAGGATTATTGAAGTCTTTTGTTTGAGGCTAGGTGGAGATCTTTCAGGAATTTAAGTGTCACCTCTTTGTTTCTTTTTTGTCACCTCTTTGTTTCTGGTCATGGCTGGTTGGTATCTTAAGCCTTGAATGTGGGGAGAGAAACTAAGCAAATGTAAATCAGCTAACTCCATATTGTAGAGGATTATAGGAAAAAAATTTTTTTTTCTTTTTTGAGACAGGGCCTCACCAAGTTGCTGAGGCTGGCCTCAAACTTATGATCCTCCAGCCCTAGCCTCCTGAGTAGCTGTGATTACAGGTATGGTGACCACACCCAGTTTATAAAGCATTTTAAATGAACCACACGGGCTGGGGCTAGCTCAGTGGCAGAGCACTTATCTAGCATGGGTGAGGCACTGGGTACAATCCTTAGCACCATATGCAAATAAAATAAAGGCATTCTGTCCATCCATAACTACAAAAAAAGTTTTTTAAAAAACC